AATTAAAAACAGATATTATTTTTTACTTTTTAGTTCCATTTTCGATTTTGAGTTCAGTTTTATTTTTTGTTTTAAGTAGTAATATTAATTATCAAGTAACTATAATATCTAATAGATACAATTAACCTTACGTAATTAACTGAAATGAGATCTAAATCACTATTAAAGTATATAAGAATGCTAACAAACAAGTCTTATACGTATTTAAGACAAATACCATCATGATTTGATGAATCTGTCGAACGAATGAATGGCAAAAATTATCACAATAATGATTAAACTGCTAGCACCGGATTCGGTCTTCGGATCCGCTATATTGATACCGGATCCGGTAACCGTCAAATGATGCCGGATCCGCCGGATTACCGGATCCGTTTACCCGGATTGCAATCCCTAGTCGTGTGGAATTTTTTTCATGAACCGAAATAGATACGACAGAGTGTGAAAGCATTACTTCCGGTCCAAGTAATAAAATTGATTTCATCATTTTCATACGACTACCAAAAGAGGGTTTTATATCTAAAGAAAATATTACTAGAAAAAAATCCACTAGGTCGAAATCTCGTCTGTAATCTGGATTTTCTCAAGTTATATTTTCTTTAGTTACATTTAATCTTGTTCAACACCATAATAGTTACAGTATTTAGTAAAATCTGATGGGGAACCCGCCCGTGTGAACAAACTCATTGCTCTGTTAGGGGCGACCGCCGACAACTCGTAGAAAGATGCAGATGCGAAAAAAAAGATCTAAAACATGACGAATCCCAGTTATTACCATGTCCCAGTGCTCAGTAAAACCTACACAGGTTTTTGTAGCACTGGCTTAATGTATTGTTATTATTTATAGTAATGTGAAATTTAATAAAATAGAAAAAAAACCGGCAGTAAAATGCTTAAAAAAGAACTATGATAAAGATTTAATTGTTCTATTTTAGTGTATTGAAAAACAAGCAATCTTATTTATGTAGCTCGGAACCCTTCCCACGCGAGTCGAAATAAACATGGGTGTTATTTTCTAATTAAGAAAATACTACTGAACAACGATACTATTATATTGTTGTCAGTAAAAGTAAAAAATGCGTTTGTGATATCAAAATTACCATGCGCTGGGATTCCCAGCTTGGGAACCTAGGAGTCAGTGCAATTTATATTTTCGAACAGAACGTCCGCCATTCGCATTGTGAAAACAATAAAGAGTAAATAAAATAAATAAATATGACATTGATGTTCAATAACAGCAACAAAAAAAAATCAGTATCAATCAATTGAAACAATAGGGACTGTTATAAATTTAAGGGTAATATAATAGATGATCTACACGTGGTAATTTCTCCTTCTATTGTTTGAGGAAGAACTTCAATATTAACCTTAAAATCGGTGATAGAGTACGGTAATGAATATTCTCATCGTCTCATCAATTTCCTATTAATATTGAGAAAGCAAACTTTCCAATGAGTATTCTGATGACACAATAATAAGTTTGGATTTTTACCTTATTACAAAACCAAAATAAAAAAAATATTAAAAACACTATTTATTTCAAAAAAAATATTTTTAAGTAAACATTTTGTTAAATGTATTTTTGCATTTGCACAACGTTACAAAGCAAAATATTATTAAATATCATTACTAAACGAATAAAGAAATACATTTTTAATTAAAATGTTTTATAATAATGATAAATAAACTTATAATTAAAAAATATAATAATTTTTCTTTGGCTGTATGAATCTTGTGACTCCTTTGACTAAATTGATTTTTTATAAAAAAACTTATCTTTTCGTTTACCCTCGCCTTTTAACTTATATATTCGCAATTGACATTTTAGCAGAGAATGGAAGAGTTTAGCAGAGAATGGAAGGTGTAACTTAACAGTAAAAAGAACTTTTAGGCCCGTATTACAGAATGACAACTAAGTGTTGATCTGTACTTAGGTACAGTTAGAAAGGGATATCGCTATGTGCTATATATAGCGACATCCCTTTCTAACTATGCTCAAGACTAGATCAATCACTGAGAATCTTTCTATATTACGGGCCTAAGGTCAGTATGAATGTTGAAGATCAACACTTCTTTGTCATTCTGTAATACGGGCCTTAGACATCACTTCCATATAAATGTTTTGCTTTTGCTACCAGTCCTTCATAATTAATTTCTAATTGGGTTTCATAGGTAATTCTTAGTGCCTACTTAGTTTAGCATTTTTGGTATAATACACATATTCGTGAATATTAGTCCTTTATCGTGGTTTATTTTTTGCCAGACGTCAGAAAATCTTGCATCCCTTTTATTCGTAATTTAACCATAAATAAATTTACCTCCATTCGATAACGGATTTCAAAATTTTCAAATTTTATTTTACCGGTCACTTAGTCACGGTCACACACACATATATCTTACCGAGCTAAATAGCGTGCCATGGGAATGGGAGACATCTTTATCCAGCAGTGTGCTGATGCGGGCTGATAACGTACAGTTTACAGCCCGTTCAAGGACAAAGAAAGTATGTTTTTCTTAGTTATACTTACCTATTTCTCGTGTTCTACTTTCCATATCCTTTATAGCGAATTTCTCAAAATTTTAGAGTCACTCTTCGTGACTGATTCATTTAGTTCGAGCAATACCTATATTTCAGTTTACCATGTTAGTTTAACTGTAACCATATTTGTGTTATGACGCGACGACAGGCATCGTCTGACACATCACAATGCTGCGATGTTGACGTATGACGAGTCTGACACAAAAAGTTGTCGTTTTTGTTGATATTGCATTGGAGTGATGAAATGGTTTAAATATGTTGTGATCTTAAACCTATACAGATAAGTGTCATTGAGCAACTATTAGAGTATAATGAATTAGGTAGTTAGGGTTCAATATTTTAAGCACCTACTTTAAGTATCGGGCTGAAGTTTCTCTTAAAAATTTTTTAGACGAACTTAAAATATTTATCTCATTTTTTAATTTACGCTTCGCTTCGGTGTAATACGTATAAACTTATCGGTAGGCCTGTATAATGTATTATGAACACATCACATCCGTGAAAATTAATCTGAATTTGGTTGCGTGGTATATTAAAAGTTTGTGGAAAGGTATGCTGACGGAGCTCGATAACGCAGGTGGTTAGCGCGTTCGGCTGAGATTGTTGAAGTTAAGCAACTTTCGCAGTGGTCGGTCATTGGATGGGTGACCAAAAACTTCTATCTCGAGTTCCTCCGTGCTTCGAAAGGCACGTTAAGCCGTTGGTCCCGGCTGCATCTGCAGTCGTTAGCACCCGCCAATCCGCACTGAGCCCGCGTGGCGGGTCATTTCCCAATCTCCCTATTCAATCCATAGGGAAGGCCTGTGCCCCAGCTGTGGGGACATTAGGCTGATTAAGATGATGATAATGCAGACGGACCCGGAAAGTAACTTTATTTTATACTATGTAAAGATCTCGTGCTAAGTAAGGTTCTAATGTACATTAAGTATTTATATCCGTATCCCACCTTCCCAATGGATATGGTTTTCTGCATTTATTTCAAAGTTAAAGGGATAATAGGTATTTTAGCGTAGCTTCTAGACCTTCACAAGTGCTTATGACAACCCAAACTGAATAATTGATATTGAATTTGAATTATGTCTTTTGGCAAACATCTTTTTACTAATGTTTGTAGAGTCATTTTGTAGCATAATAAGAAAAAAATGTTGTTGTTATTTCAAATTTGAAAATAATGTACTTTGATCAGCAAAAAACTCTACAACTATACAAGTTAGAATAACAAAAATCATTAACACACGCGCGAACTTATTAGTTAAATAAATACTCCGTCTATGATTCTTCTTTTTATCAAAAGACTATAACAAAAACCATTTACACACGCACGAACTAATTTTTTAAATAAATACTCCGTCTATGATTCTTCTTTTTATCAAAAGACTATAACAAAAACCATTTACACACGCACGAACTAATTTGTTAAATAAATACTCCGTCTATGATTCTTCTTTTTATCAAAAGACTATAACAAAAACCATTTACACACGCGCGAACTTATTTCTTAAATAAATACTCCCTCTATGCTTCTTCTTTTTATTAAAAGACTACTAGGTTGTGATTTGAAAGAATAATTTGAACTGACTCCTGATATTTATATCAATCAGATTGATTCAAGGAGATTTGTGAAGAAAACGAATTTCGGAGATTTTTTTCTTACTCGTAACCTGAATTCTTTATCACTTTCCTGTTTTTACCGAATAATTTTATTGTGTAAACAATAAGTTCGGCCTAGCCTTTCAGTATCATCTTTCAAGGTAACTTTTGTTATGTTGGCAATAAACTTCCTATCTAAGCCTCCTATCTTCACATGTTATCTATCAATGACCCGGTTAGTTTCCTATCATGTTTAAAATGTCGTCCAATTGTTATCTTTCCCTCATTTAAAATTGTTAAATTAGGGCAACATGTCCTGATATCATATTTTGAAATGTGTGTTTTAGTTTCAAGATTAGCTATGATGAATGAGCTTAGAACGAGGAGAAATTTAATTTATGATTATATAATCAAATCGATCTCCACACATGTATTTATAGTCGGTCCATGGTAATAATAAAATCCGAAATAATAATATAAGTACCTACATACTTAAATCTAAAGTTTTTTGTTTACTAAAAAAATAACACGTGGACCTGGCAGCAGACAAGACTCGAATTCGCAACACCCGTCATCTGGAATATATTCTAGTAATTTTTTCCTTTACATTTAAACATATTTATCCTTTAAAAGAGGCGTGAAGAAGCAACATGCAGGCCGGCAAGATGAGGATGGCTGATGTGGAAGGTAGAACTGCTGTACCAGCTATCTTCACGTCTGGACTTCACCATCATTTAACATCAGGTGAGGTGGAGTCATTTGTCGGACCTATCTATAAAAAAAAATCTAGCAGTTAAATGCTTAAAAATAAAAAGATAAGTACTCGTTAATAAAATTCAAAAAAATAACTATTGACATTGATTACTTAGTCCTATGATAAAGTTTACAATTACTAAAAGAACTTTAGTTATTAGTTTAGTAGAGCCCGTACTTTCCTTATTTCGTAGAATATAAATTTAGTTTTTCATCAGAAAACTATCTATATAAAATGACACATCCCTTAAATTTTCACGTAAGAGTCTTTGTTAGTTGATTGTGATTTAAATAAACAAGCAAATAAAGTCATCACATGCCCCATTTGTCAACAAACACTTATTCAGTACTTCTATATAGAATACTTTATCAGTAGATTTCAACTTAAGTGCGTAGAAAGATAAAATTATTGTTTTCATCATTATAAATTCGAAATTAAGATTAGTATAAAGGTTTGTACAAAAACCATCAAATAAAACAGTACAATTTAAGCTACGAGATTAAAAAATATTATTGTAAGTGATTTGGAGTGTAAACAAACGGTTTTATTGAAAGTTCGATTAATAAGAGAAGCTGCTCATTAAATCCATTAGTGAATATTTTCGTTAAAGATTTCCACGAAATATAAAATACTTTGTCCGATACCGAGCAGCGTCAAAACGTAAACAAAGATGATAAAAGGGCGAAATCCCCCCTGCGCCCACGCTGTGAATCACCGAGGATTGCCCGATGTATCGTTCCACTTCGTGTAACCGACATAAGCGTTTGACGCGCCGAATCGTGCGCACGTATGTTATAACGGTCTCAAGTAGCGCCTTGTGGTACACCATAGTTCCTTGTATTACTTTTGTTCGGTGATCGATAAAACTATACAAGGGGTGTGACGTTCTTTTTATTATAAACGTCATTTGTGCAGGGGTGTGTCAGTGGGTGTGTCGTGATTGCTTCTGTGTAAAGTGACATTTTTAATATTTTGTAAAAATGTTTCCGCGGATACAAGGATTGGTGAGTTGAATTATTTAATAATTTTGTATATTTTATGTTATAATAGTATTCCATAAATATTTATTTTCAAACATTGATTGTGTGTACAAAATCTATCAACTGTCAAGTCACCGACACTACAATTATTATTTACATCACAATCATAAACAGTTTGGCCAAACGTTGTTATTAGGATGTTATCAGTTGGTTTTCGTTCACATATTGTTATGATATGAATGGGCAAATCTTGTTCTGGTTCCGCGACCTACAATCCGATATTATTGGTTACACCTTTGTTTCAAGAATATTGGCCTAGATTTTACTTACAGCGAACGATCGTAATAGCCTGCATATTCGTCTCTACTTGCCTAGCATATTGCAATAACGTATGAACATCACAGTGAAAGGAATCTCAGTAAATCATAAACCCTTTTAGTCTTTCATTGCTTTTCTAATTCATATATCGCGTATATTCATATATCGCTTAACTTATTTTTATTTTGCTTATAAAAAGCAAATGCCTTTTGATATTTGATATGATTTAATGTAATTTCTCTATTTCATGTTTTTTTATTCAGTATAAACTCGGTTTGTTTTTCCTTCATTTGCAAACGTAAGTAAATACCACGTGCTAATGGTCACGTATGGATGTATGCAGTACTAATGGACTTGCTCTAGATTTATTAAACTCAATATGAATACTTACCTTCATTAATATCCTAAATAAGTAACAAAGATGTGATAAATCAATAGATTTTGATTTTTATAATTTTCATTTTACATTTATTTGACTTTGTCTATTTTTAATAACACATTAAACATAGTTTCGTCGAATGCAAGACAAGAAGTTAAAATTTATTCTTTTAAATCGTAGTTAATACTTTATACAATTTAAGAAACATTGTTAACTATAAAAGAAAATATAATTAACTATCCTGTGCTTATTTAACTTAATTCTTGGAAACCAAAATTGCTTTCTCAAACATAATGGTTATTTTTTTCCTACAAAAGTACTTATATTAATGTCCAGTTAGTCACCTTTTTAACTGGACTGAGTCACATAAAATGAGTCAAAAGAAGCATAAAGTCATTTAATGGAACTCAAGGCATATTTACTCATACTTGTTCCCTTATTTGGTTCTTTCAGATTACAGTGAATGTTATTAAAAATATTTTCAACACTATATTTTATACCTTATAACATAATACGTAAGTTAACTGTCGTGTTAACTCTAACTTTATGAATGTTGAAAATCCTTAAAGTTTTGTCTTAACATCGAGTAGGTACATATAGAAGGAGATAAAATAATAATCATTTATGTGTTTGAAATTTTTAGTACCAGCCAGACGGCTTTATCTTAACGTTTTCATACTTATATGTAGTACGTACATAGTGACCCAAATGCACATTTTGTTTGACGTAGATCAAAACTCGTTTGACAGACTAATCTTGATAAGGATTCTGTTTTTGTATAATTATTTCGTTAGCTGTTATTGTTTAAAAATGACTCGTTGATATTACCATATTTAACAGATCTTAATAAAACTTTATTAATACCTGATAGCAAAATTTTAGAGAGATATGTAGACTTTACGTAGGTATGCAAAATTATAAGTATTTAAGTAAAGTGAGAGATTCCAATGATATTTGTTCCAATCAAAATATAAAAGGGCTGACTCACTGTGACAATTAAGCCATTAACTATTTCAAAGTTACGAAATTCGCATTTTGTTTCGTTTAATATAACGATCCTATCTATATTGCTATTTAATTTGCGATTCAAGTTCTTTGAAGGCTCCATAAACCGGTCGTATTACACGAAGTTTATATCATCAATACAGTTAACAATCTACGTCTTTGAGTGTGTTTTGATTGATATTAAATGTGTTTGAGAGACAAACTTCATCCGTGTTGTTGGCATATAATAAAATATAGGTAATAAATTAATTTCGTGTACAATTTTTGTTTTGTTTGTTAAAAAAATGTAGCGAAAATACGTCATCATGTCATCAATCTAGTTCTTGCATTAATTATAAGCCAACAAATAAATATAATATTACTAGCTGACTCGGCGACTTTGTACCGCCCTAAAGTAATAATTTGCAATAAAATAATATTGCGACTATAAATTGAGATGTAAGCTATCGTATCTTTCACGTTGGATCAAACTGCACACGGTGTGCAAATTTGATTAAAATCAACTACCGGAAATCGAAGTGAGCAAACGAAAATGCTAGTAAGAAGTCCAATGATCACTATTTGACGCTTTGTTTTTATGTTAAACATAATCTTTCATCGTATCATAGTAGTATCCTTCGAGCTACGTGATGGAATGGTGGCGACGGACGTGACAAGCTGCTCGGCGACCCGGGGACGGGAAAGGATGTGTGAAACCGCGCCGCTTCCTTACCCGTTTTGGTCACCGATAGCTATTAATAGTTTAGTTACACGATTATTAAATTTCTCTTGGTACCTAACACTCTTTATGGGGAGCTCTATGGCCGAGTGATTTGTCGATTCGGCCTGCGATTATGGAAGTAACGTCGTAGTAGATACCGACTCGGAAAGGGGTCGTCACTATATCAACTCGAGCCGTTCAGTGTTCTATGTATGAAACTGGAAGATTGGTGAAGCAGTAAGGACTGCTTCACCAATCGGAACCAAGCTCATGTTTCTTCGTGAGGTGATTACGTTACGATTCCGTTCGACCGTTTGTTCTCCGACTAACTTTACAAATCCGACTACCACGAGAAAGTCTTTTAAAATTTTCGGGTCCTATGATATTTACAAATAACGAGGCTTTCTATTGGTAAAAGAATTTTCAAAATCGGTTCAGCAGATCCACAGATACAACGTCACAAAATCACAATTAATAAACTTTATTTCCTTTAAATATTAGTTAAAGCTGATAACAATCTTATGTCTGTAAGTAAAAGTAAATTTCCACCTTATGATGTGCTAAGGTATCGTTGCTCTTAGAATATACCTGAGTCAAATTTTGTAACTATAAAAATACCATAAAAGTATTATAATGCAGATACACTTTATTCCTGAAAGATGACATTGACAATCGAAATGGTATTAACAAACATTTATAATCATTGTTCACTTCAACATAAAATGCTTAGGCAAACCGGTACCTGCTTATATGGTTCGTGTATACCTGTTTCAAGCCTGCATCTCGCACAGGATGCAACTAATTATTTCACATGGCTTCACCCGCCTTGCATGTGGCCAGTTTTTATAGGCCACAGCAAAAAGGTAGGCAGCCACAGCTGGCACTATATTAAATTAAAATCTATCAGCAATATCCCTTTGTTAGGTAGATACAGAACTTTAGTGTTTTAAATTTAAAAACGTACTTATGTCACGGGGGAACATGCTTTCGAAGTATTTATTTTAAATGGGCTGAAACCGCGCAGTAACATAATATTTAATATCATAGATAACGAAGAACATAGTGAGATACATGAACAAACAATAGTGGCAAATAAAGAAAATGATTTAGGTATAGATAATATTGTGTAACACAAAGCTAAATTATTTTAAAACAAAGACGAAACTGGGATTGATAAACTGACTTTCAGCGACATTTGAGATAATAATATTAAAATTTGTTAAATTAAAAACTATTTTTAAATCTAATCGAATATCAACCAAAATTGTTGAATTCAAAAGATATTGAATTAGGTTAGTACATGATTTAGTTTAAAGTTTATCTAATAACTTTGGTGCCAGGAAGTGAATGAAAGAAAATTACTAAGTTAACTGTCATATTTTAAGTAATATCAAGTAGTCGTCCAAAATATTTCACTGGCCTCATTTAACTTAGATACTTCAAAGGTTTTTTGTGTCATGTGACATTTCCATAATGAGGAAAATTGTGATAAGTAATAAAGCTGTTAACTAAGATGTTTTTATGGACGTCATTGGCTGTTAATCAGAATTTAAGATTATTAGCCAAACGAAAGAACACCCAATCAAAAACAACACTATATACTTAGTTGTTTCCATGTATAAACAAATAACAGATTTTATTATATAATTCGTATAACAGGCGCGTGTAACTATCGTCGTTTTTTAAATTTACGCTTCTGTTCAATTTTTCATTGCATCAAGATGTGCAACCCAAACGAAGTTTATGCGTAATATTAAGTATTGCGACCACTCATAAATCTCAAGTTAATTATGAGAGTACAACTATTGAGAAACTTGGCTTTTGAAATAAGCCAAGACTAAGGTTCTATAACAGTATATCGACATACAAAACGGAGAACTGAAATGAAATGAGTAAGGCTTCTATCGAAAGTTTCTGATATTAATAAATAATATCGATAGAGTTCGACGATCTCCGTGGCCGAGTTGTTTGTACGCCCGGTTTCATGGTGTCGCCTACTCGAGAGGTCCCGGGTTCCAATACCGGTGGGGCAGATGTTTGTGTGATGAATACGAGCATTTGTGCTCCAGACATGGATGTTTAATATGTATTTCTATATAAATATACTTATATATGTACAGTATATGTATTCTATCCGTTAGTCTTATATCCCTTAACAGAAGCCTTACAGCTAACTTTGGGGCTAGGCTAATTGGTGTGAGTATTGGAAATATTTATTTATTTAGTTATTATAAATATAATAAGTGTGAAAGTAAACTCTTCTATTCATTTGCAATACTGTCACGTCATCACTGAATTGATTTTGATTATGTTTTGTGTGGAGTAAAAAGGGATCTTTGAAAATGGTTTACAATACTTTGCTGAGAAAGTATAGCGAATAAGGGAAATAAACGAAAAACAAATTTCTAATATAGCTGAAGTCGCGATCCAGGTAATCATGGATAAAAATAAATGCAATGGTATATCGGCCTTAGGCCAATTATGTTTGATGGAAGTGCCAATAACAATATAAAAAACAGTGAAAAGAATGACGATATAACTAAATGCGCAGAAATCAGGAAAAATCAACTGAAACGCACGAGTTGGGTGAAGAGGGCAGAGAAATTAAACACCTTGAGTGTT